GCCGTTGGGGAAGGGGGTGGTGCAAGACTCAGAATGCTCATGAGGCTCGTCCGCGGCCAAGTTTCCGGGGCCAGAAAGCGGTTTCACATGTAGTGTGGACACAAATTCCCTCAACTGTACTTCCTCCTGGCCAAATGGCCAAGTTTGAGAATTGTGACAGTGTCCACTGGCAGCCTCAGCAATTTTCCGTCCAGGTTATTGAGCCCGAAACTGGGGTTGAAAAAGTGAAGAGAAAATGGCTTCAACGCACAGGCCCTGAAGTGTACGCAAGAACCAGACCAGATTCGCACTGGATTCTGAGCGTCAAGTAGTTTCGAACGAAAACAGACCTAGAAAGCATCTCTTCTTTGGAATCTACTGTGCGGTGGAAGTAGAACTCTTGAAGACAGACAGGAATCTCAAACCATGCCCTTCATTCAGACTTTGAGAAGTGGAAAGCTTCACTTTTGACTTTTACTCCAATCCGTTTGGTTGGCGTCCGAACTCCTTGAGATTTCTCAACTCCAACTCCAGCCCAGGATTCAAATGAAACGAGCCAATCCGGAACCTGCAATCTCAGATTCCAGGTTGCAAGAGTCGAAGAAGCTAGAAGCTCAACGGGGCCATTCTGCGGGATCTATCACCAGAAGTCTCGACCATTTCGGTGTCCAGTCGGTGCTGCAAGCACCGACAGTCCAGTGGTCTTACACAGGTCCTCATCGACTTCAGGCGTCCAGGTGCTAGCATTTACCACAAAAACACTTGAATGCGGATGGATCACAACTGTCCACCTGGGAAGAGCTGTATGGCGCTGAAGATGACGGGATGCGAATGCCTATGCCTCGTCTTCGACTGCTGCTGAGAATGCATTTCCAGGCGGAGCGACTGTTGTTTCCCAAGTCGCGAATGCTCTGAACCCTAGCAGAAGTGGTTCTCATGAATTGTCAATGCTAAAGGCAGGTGAGCGCACTGAGCTGAGTGCTTAATTTACAGGAGTGCCTGATCGAATGCCGCATGTTTGGAAATGCAACTTTGTTGTTGAAATGTTGAATGGGTTTTCTTTAGCGGATTGCCGAGAATGAAGTTCTTGGACACAATGATGTAGTGCAAAGCAGGACCCGACTATGAGCACAACGACTGTACAGTGCAATGTGCCTCATCTTTTGTGAGTGAGTCGAATGCTCTGCGGTGTTCGAGCAAAAGTCCTGAATGAGAGCAATGCGGTGCAATTGTTTGAGTTCGTTTTCTTTCGTATTGAATGTTGATTGGTCTTGTTTACTACTGTGCTAAATGTCACAAACCCAATGCACCTGCGCCTATGTGCAGAATGCCATGATGCCACGTGGCTCAAGACTGGACGACTGCTTGGTTGCACGAAGGAAACATGACTGTGTGGTCTGATTGAGGGGAGCAGACTGTTCACGTGTAGGAGTGGTCCCAACTGGTAGGATTGTATAGTGGAATTTTGCACCACCACCACCACCAGCACCACCGCCATCCTTTCTCCTCCTTCCACTGCTGCAGCTGCCACTCTTGCTAAACCCTTCAACTACTACTACTGGCACGACTACTGCGACGACCACCGCGACCAGACGCTACCACGACGATGACCAGCTAGGACGACAAAGTCCACGACAACGGCGACACCAGCTATGACAAATTTTTTGGATAACTCTATTTATCAAGCTGGGATTACTGCTTCTGTCTCTCATTTGGGTCATGTCTTCGACTCATGTTAAGCGAATGCTTAACCATGGCCCACTTTTACCCCAGTGCACAAATCAACCAGCAGGGCTGCTAGCCAATGCGCGAATCTTGCTTCCTGGCTTCGAGGCGCCTCACTAGTGACGCTAGGCGAACACGCCACATTCGCCGATTTTTCTTGGAGGAATTGTGTTTCCTTTCCCTGCGTATGAGCTCCTCAGGGCCTCGATTCCCGCTCCGCGCGTGGTTCAACCGGGCCAAATTGGAGCAGCTCTGTCGGAACGCACTTTCCGCAGACGATCCGGGTCATTTCTTTCGTTCCTTGCAGGACAGCCGAGTACGGAAGTGCTAAGACGATGAGTCGCCAGACTTCAAAAGGGTTGCGATGGAAGTCTTGCCCGGGAATTTTTCGGTTCGACGCTGCTTCTCTGCTGGCTACCAGCGTTGCGGCCATTAAGGCTTGTGGAAGTCGTTTCGGCGGACGGTGTCCCGGCTCCGTGCGAGCCACCCGTGTTCTCGTCACCATTGGTGGAGGCGCTCGCTGCCTGAAACTTCTGCTCCCCACTTTTTCTTGGAGGCCGGAGTGATTGAGTTACAGTGCGGAAGTGCTGGAGTTGGTCGGGAAGTGTTTTGGTAGGAGTGACTGGGGTTGACTGTTGTAGGTGCAGGTCTGGTAGTCCCGGAAACTCCCACTGTGGTTTGAGTTGTTGTGTGTGTTTGGAGAACACATGGCAGAGCTAGGTTTCACTTAAAGTTGCGCAGACGACGCCTCGCTGCTGTGTGTTTTGACGCGGAGACGAAAATGTCTCAAAAATGTCACCTTTGCAAAGTCAGCATCCGTGAAGATCTTCGCCTTTGCCACAAGATTGAATTCGAGAAAGCCGGGATTCACCTGTTCCTTCTTCTGAAGACTCCCTGTTGCTTCTCGGCTTTCATGGTCTAGGTTTTCTTCTTGTTGTCTGCCTTCTGCTGTGCTGCCTTCCGTTTCTTCAGCAATTGCAATAAGGTCGATGGTAACAATTCTGGTAGGTTAGTTCCAAGAACGTCTTTGTACGGTGTCTCGGAAGCCTATAGAGTGAAGCGAACCCGAATCGGTTACAATTTCTTCAGTGCCCAGACTAAGTTGATTAACTTTGACGTGAATGCAGCACACGAATGACGCCTTTTCTCAACCGTGCCAGACATTGAACTCAACGAAGAACTGTGTTTTACTGACGGCCGCCTGAAGAAGTTTTCTTTCGGCTGAGCTCAAGTACTGCACGGAGCAGTTCTCCGCAAAAACCAACCGTGCAGCTGCCATGACGGTCGATACTGTGCCAAGAAATGTTTTGGAGGAGAGTTGGTCTTATGGTGGCAGGAATGCAAAGAACCGTGCGGAGGCAGAAGCATTCAAGTTTTTCCAAGCTTCGTAAGGGATGGGTTCGAAGAGTTATAAGATCTTGGAGGATTCTCCTTAACGTTGGAGAGATGACAGTCTCACAGCACACAAGTTTACCTGCAGCATATGGAAGACACCGTGAAGCGGTCTCTAATACGTTGAGCAGGAGGCGCCGCTGGGCTGGCGGTCTACACATGTTGTTTGCAGGGTGCTCTTGGTGTGCCGCCTCAGAAGCACTTTCACTGATGTGTTCTGATGATATGCACTGATTGTGAGATGCCATACTCCATTTATTAGTCGCCGCGGCAAGAGCCAATATCAAAGGGTGCAGCATGCCGAACTTTATCGATTTGTTTTGGGGAGAACGGAAGGGGTGTGTGCATTGCCGAAGCAGAGAAGGCAGTTTTGGAAGTTTCTGAAGAGAGTCCTGACTCACCTTTGCACCAGCTTGGGATGGTTTATCGATGTGAGTCGTCTTTAACCATTTACTGACGTTGCTCTGGTTTTTCATTGGCGTTCCTCGTTCCAAAGACGAAGTGCTCACATTTGGCTCCGAATTGATGTTGCTAGCTGCACCTGTTGCCTGGAGAAGAACATGTTGGTCAAATTCTTGCAGCTTGGCGGCAATTCATTCCTTGCAGCATGCAAAGCTTGTTCCCGCTTTAAGGACTCTCGTGAGCTGCGCGGCTGTTCGGGATCAGTCCTCCAAACATAGCTTCGGACGTACAAAGGCATGCTCCAGAGTGGCTACCAGGAGCCTGGATCCAAAAATGTAGCTTGTTTTTCAACTTCATTGCAGGCTTTGTTGGTGTGTGGACACGAGGTTCAGCAGCAAATACGTCTCCCCAAGTGTAACAAACTCAGAAGGAGCAGGTGTGGCCAAGTCTTTCTTGTCGGGTCACCCGGAACACGCCTGAAAAGGGGCCTAGAAAACATCCCATGGAGCGTGATGTGAACTCCGCGTCTTTAGGTTTATTGTTCTGGGCCTTTGGCTCGGTGGCATCCGTGTCTGGGTTGTTTGAGTTTAAGTCGCCAGCTGCATCATCGTATTGATTTAGGGTTTAGGGTTTAAGGTCCTTCTTGAAGTTTGGGCTAAGCCTCAATTCGTGCTCTTCTGAAAGATATGTGCTGACAGTTCGAGGTTGTCAGTTTATCCCAAGGTGAGCATAAGACCATCGGACCCGCAGACGGTACATGCGCAGGACCAATGCAACAGAGTTTGATTTTCCTTCTCTGATATTTGATGACCCGGACTTCAACTACCTCGAATCTCGCGAAATGTTCCTTGCGATCACGGACGACTGCAGTGAGCATTTAACTGGAGTTAAGCTCCACCCAGTCCATGTCTCTCTGGAAGGGAAGAAGGCCATGCTGGAACAACGCTTCAAGGTGAAACAGCTAAAGCATGCCCTGCAGTCAGCATCTAAGATGGATGAAAAGTATTTCAAAGAGCAGTATCGGCTTATGAACGGGAACGACATCAAGCACGTCCCGGTGGTGGAACTCCACGTGTTTCCGTCAGACCCGCGAAATGTGACATCAATTTGGCAGGTCTTGATTGTTCCTCGTGCACGTGAAGTCTTTGGTCGGCATTTGTTCCTTTGCAAAGCAGAGAACCAATGTGTGGCAGATATGCACTTCGAACCCTTGCCATGGCGTTTGCAGACCTGGCTTGGAGGATGGGATTCAGATCTCGACATGCGCAGGTCCACCCCCACAGAGTTGATCCTCTTCACAGAGATAGCTGTGATCGCAGGCTTGGCACTGCTACTTGGCAGCCTCTGTGGAGTCGGAATCCTGTGGTGGCAAAAACGGCGGCAACAAGCACCGGTGACCCAAGCTGCCGCGATACATGAGAAGCTCTTGAAGGAAGACTTGTCCAAGGCCGGGCAGCTTTCCCTACAGGCGATCGGCCCACAGGCACCCCAACAGACGTGGCGAAGCCCTGAAACCCAGAAGAAGTTTTGGAGGTGCTTCTCGAAGGTTCCCAGTGTCCTGCCTAGTGTCCTAGTGTTGCATGTAGAGGGTTACAGCACTTTTTTTGCTGTGTGCAAGCCGAACTTCAAAGCTGGGCCACACTTAGTGCAGAGGCTGCCAGCCCAGCTAGCAGGGTGCTTCGCATTCCGTCAGGTCTGGAGGAATATAGTTACGAATTGTCTTCTGCAGGTGACTTCAGGCTGCTTCCAAGAGGGTTCTACAGGAGCTCAGGATGACAGTTTTGGAGAGAAAACGGACAGGGCAGAACTCAGCTCACCGAATGAGGGCTGCCCAATGTAAATTTTGATACGAAAGCCTTCGTAGAATGCCAGTTGGTTTGGGACGCTTCAAAAGCGCGAGATGCCGCAAAACAAATGACCACGAGTGTGTTGGGATCCAATTTCACATCTCTGCACACGACGGCTCGAACAAAATGCCTGGCAGGTGTTTCATCTCAGCCGGCATTGCTTCCTGCACGAGGAGGCATGTGATACGACTGCTTCAAGCGATGAACTGAATGCGGGTACGAAAGTGGAGCTGCTCGGAGTGCAGCTCGCCGCGAGAAGATCTACCTGGAAGGCAGTCTCAGGTTTAGATCTCTACGAGATCTTTTGCCAAATATGCGGCCAGCCCAATTCCGCAGTCTGGGGCTTGATCCGCGCGAAGGAGGTTGAGCAGGGCAGTGGCTGGGCAGTTCTCTATGATGAAACCGTTGGTCTCGAGCTGCTTGTAACTGGCCCACAGCCAGCCAAATATCAGGCCCCGGACGTTCTAGTGCCGACAATGATCAACTTCATGACGAGAACCTTGACCTTGCTTGTTTCATACTTGTCGGCACTATGGATGCTTCTGGAATGCATGCGAGCATGGTTTGGTTGGCGATCCTTCCTGCTCATGGCTGCCTGCCTCCTGGCCATGCATGTGCTTGTGTTGATAATGCGAGGCCGATCCTTCCTCCTGGGCTTGGATTATGAAGAAGTGCTCGAATCTCGTCAACTGCTTCGCCTGGGGAATGGGCAGGCGTGGAGCTTCAGCACCTTCCTAGCTTTGCTGGCAGTCGTTGTCAGCATGCTTATGCTGTACGCTCCCCTCGAGTTGGCTTCTCTTCCAGCCTGTGTGACGTTTGCAGTATTTCTTGCTCTGCATGTCCAGTCTGCGGATGCTGCCACGTCTGCTCTTGAAAGCTGGCGGGCACCTCAAATGGAGCGCTTCGAGTTCCTGTGCGTCAACACAGAGCAGTTCGGCATCACGGATCGAAGGCCCTCGCAGCTCTCGCGGTCAAGGGCTTTTCGGCGGCTGGCTGTTCAAGGCATCGTTATTTTCACGCTGGCAGTCAGCCTGCTTGTGGGGAACTTACTACTTAGCCCTGTTTGCCATTGCATGCTACCAGTGTCGTGTTTACTTCCGTGGCGATGCCATCTTCTGAAAGGCGTGGTGTAGCACAGGTCCCAGTATCTCTAGTTCGATGCGTCAGTACTTTCGGCTTGGCCTGCTTCGATCAAACAAGGCTCAGGATCATGTGTTGGGGGTGGTTATCTGCTGCCTCGTCCGTGGCCTTGCTCCATGTTGGTTGCTGATTTCTGTTTGTCCTGTGGGCATCTCGCAAGGGAGGGGTTTTCGGAAGATTTCGGAAGCCTCCAGGACAACCTCGGGTGACTTGTTTGAATACTGGTGGGGGATGGAAAGTAGCAGGCGCCGGAAAAGAGGAATTGGACGGTTTGGTCGATGACTGGCAAGCAATGCCAACAACGATCTCGCGTGCCCCCAGCAAGTCTGAACCTTGAAAATTCAAGCTCCCGCAGCTCTGAAGACCGAGGTGGTGCTGGTGCTTTATCGGGATTCCTGTCAGATGCGTGGGGAGCTCGTGCACTACAGTTGGAGCCGCGGATATTTGGTGTATCCTTCAGAGGCTCAGGCTGTGCACAACACCTTGCTCCTTGACATTCGGGCGGACTCCTTGGAACTAAGTCTTCAAAAGGGCAAGCACACACGTTCGGTGACCGTCACGGTTGAGCACCCAGGCTTGTCAGACCGTTTCCCTACCAGTATCGAAGAGCAATCGTCAGGAGACTGCCAAATCTCTCTGCCAAGGGGTCCTTCTTACAGCCGAGTTTCGGTTGATGCACTTGGTGACTTTGTGAACACTACGTATGTCACGCATATTCTTCGGATTGGAGAGGCCGTAACGGTCTCAATGTCGAGCCCAATGATGCATCACAGTGAAGACAGCCCTGCATCCCACAGTTTTCAGGAAGAGCGGCGGTTGGCATTTCAACTCGCGAATCCCGTGTGGAACGTGCCCGACATTGACATGGCAACCAACTCCACAGTGCAGGTGGGGTGGCGTCCAGCCGTTCTTGCACCGCTCAGGCCGGGCCTGCATGGCGCTGTGATGCCACATGTCGGCACATCATGTGTTTGCACGGATGTGCCCGGCTTCGGCCGATGTGCAGTGGAAGAAGCCGTTCGAGCGAGTGAAGCAGCGCCGAGTTTATGCATCTTCCAGGAAGAGGCGATGTCAGAAGTGCGCCCGTTTCAATCAGAGTCCAGCATCGCTGGAAATGAATCAGACATCCTGGAGTGGTTGCAAAATGTCTCAGTCAGCGGAAAGTCTGTGAGCCTTCTAGCAAGCCCCGAAGGCCGTGAAGTGGACATGGAGACCGCAATACCATTCACTGTCATGAACGACAGCAGGGTGAACACCAGCATCGAAAGTATCTTTCAGGTATCACTTCCTGCAACATGGTTGACTGGAGAGGGTACACGCATAATTGCGAGCTTCACCGAAGACCCGACGGATGTTGAGGTCACTGACATTCCTGTGATGGTCGTACCCTATGCCCCCCAAGTCACGCTTCGCTTTCCAAGCAGCGCCGGCGAAGCTTTCTTGCTTCCAGAGGCGTCAGCCACGTCTGACCAATACTATGTTCTTTGCGGTGGGAGGGCCGTCAACATGAGTCTGTTGCGCTCCGACATATCGGATGTTCGTTTCTCTACGCGGCTTCTGCAAGGGAAGGGCGGTCTAAACTGCAACCGTGCGACTGACCGGGAAGAGTGGCTGGAGCTAAAAGCAGTCCGCAAGAACAATTCATGCACAGGTGAGTGCCCGCAGTACAGAACCAGAGGTGAAGGCTACGACATTCGCGTGGTCAGATCGCCCGACACCTGTCTGGAAGAGGCCATTAAATTGAAGAATATGTCTGCGGTGCTGCTGGTCTTGCAAAGCATGGTCACGAAGAACAGCGTCTTGTATTGTTTATTGACAACAGTCTCAGGGTTGGGTTCTTGTGGAATTTTTTGTTGGGCGAAGCAGTATTCTTTTTCAGAACATATTCTCGACGTGTCCGTTTCGAACACTAGCTGCCCAGCGGTGCCGTTGGTTCGGGCTTTCGGGGTGACAGAGTGGGTTTTGTGGACGAAGGCTGGGGCATCTGGGCCGGCACGAGGGGACCGACGGAGAAAGCACAGGGTGTTCGGGGCACGCTTCCGTTCACCTTTCATGGGCGTGGCTTTGCAAGAAGAGGATTCCGCCTCCATTAATTCCCTGGGATTGGCTCTTCCTTCACCATCCTCGCACTGATGTGGGTCGGAAAGTTAGTGGTTTCGGATTCTGGTTTCGATCATTTGTGGCGGCCGCCACCTTGCCCTACGCGTGGCTTTACCGAAGTGAACAATGTGTTTGCTACTGCTGGGGCTACCTTAAAGTCTATGTGTCGGAACTTTGGATGGGGAACGTGCGCATGTGCAGAATCAATTGTGGAAGTTGCCAGCAACTCACGACGGCACTGAGTTTGTTTTTGGGTTGCCCGCTTGACGATGCATCTTTTTTGGTGCAAGCTGGGCATGAGACTCTTGTAGCCTGCAGAGCTCGCTGGATAGAACCGAGGCCCCTGTTACAATGATTTCGGCTTGTGGGACTTTGCCCTCAGCTTGGAGCATACAGGTGATTGGGAGAGCTCTGTTGAGCAACTCATGCAGGAAATGGACCCGAACCAAATGTATCGAGATGAGACACCACTTCAAGCGGCTGCGGCCAGAGGAGATGTTGCGGCGATGCGTCTGCTTCTCTCGGACGACAGGGTCAGGAAGGAGGCAGCGGAATGTGAACCAGTTGCGCGCAGAGGGGCATGCCTACTAGGGTGCAACTTGCGCGGAGCAAGTTCGAGTCTGGCACATGCATCTAGGATAGAGATGTTGACACTAGCCAAGTGCAGGTGGACAAGCAGAACAGCAAGAATGAGACGGCCTTGATGCTTGCCAGCGATTCCTGCCATTTGGAGATCATTCAGCTTTTAATACAGCACGGTGCGCGGGTCAACTTGTTTCGCCAAAAGCGAGGGAACAACGCTGCCGCTGTGCTGCAGGGAGCGAGACTGTCCGTTATCGGTGTTCTCATTCGGGGAGTGGATGTTTTGTTTCCAATAATCCAACAACAGAAGCTGCAACTTCTTTCAGGAGAAAAAGCTGAATTGTGAAGCCGGACCAACACCACTGGTGTCAATGCTGGCGAGTGACTATCGTAGAGTACCAAGTTGTAACGACGGTGATGGAGACGGTGCCCAGATGAGCAAAGTCATGAAGGTACTGGAAGAGAACGGGACCGCCCTGAACACATCCGACTGTGACTACAGAGGACGGGTGGTGGCAGTGTTGCATGTTTCTATGCCCTGGGATATGTTCAGCCACTTTGCCCATGCCATGCCATCTGTGCTTGGGCAGACAGGGCTTCCCGTTCTAGTAGTCATACGCTGGGACCCTGGCAGGTTGGCTTTTGCAGCTGGCGTTCAGCCACCGCGACCCGCGCCTTCTCAAGATCGTCCTGGATGCTGGGTCATCTCCGCAAGATGCCGTGTTGCCAATCGTCGCTTCGATGTCTCGTACATCTTACGAACCTGGCTTCCTCGGTGAGGCAGCAGGACTCCTGCTGCACGCTAAGATGGACCCGACTCACGAATACCGACCAAAGAAAACTCTACTTAGCATGGCTGCCAGGTATTGCCGTGTTGAGGTCGTACGGGATCTCCTTGTGCCTCCGACTGTGCTGGATAACGTGACCCGGAGCCTCTCAGAAAAGCAAAATCGCGTTTGCAGCAGAAACAATGCGTCCGCCAGCAATGCCATCGCTCGACTTCTTGAAGATGGTGTGAAGGGGTCCTAGAGCCGGTTGCGCTGTATGCAAGAGCAGACCTCGCCCCGAGAAGAAAAAAATATCTCAGAAAGCTCATGCAGTTGACCGGACAGAGGTGGAAGCAAGAACTCTTGACATCTGTTACACGAATGAAGCGGCTTGCGACTTGCGACTTCGCAGCGCCTTGTAGTCGCTCAAGAGTAGCGCGAGCAGTGATTTGCCAACTACAGACCTTTCGGAAGCAGGCGCCCTGGCATTCGAAAGTCTTGTCTTTCGCGGTTTGGCACGTCTTGCAGCATGTGACTGAGGTTCCATCTCGATTGAAGCTCGGGCGGTCTTGCAGTTCAGCATGCGTTCCGCGAGAGCCTCCACCGTGGCTGTTGCGCTCGCTTCTTGTCTGCAAGGCCGGCAGTCCGCCAGGACTGAATAAGCAGGTGATAAGTAAGGTTATAAGTAGGCCAACCAGAATTAGGGTACTTGCAAATCTACTTATACCCTAGGCCTTCAAGCACCACATCGCCGCAAGGTTTTCCTTGCATGGTCCTCAAGGGGCATAAGAGAGGCGCCTCGGCAAAGTTTATTGTGTGTACGTACGCACGCAAACACACGCACGCACGCACGCACGCACGCACGCACGCACGCACGCACGCACGCACGCACGCACGCACGCACGCACGCACGCACGCACGCACGCACGCACGCACCCACTCACTCACTCACATTCACTCACCCAC